ACCCCCGTGACTGGGGAAACTGAGGTGGGGGAGGGGGGCAAGCACTCCCCCTGGGCAGAGAGTTGGGGCAGGACTGCGGCAGGCCTCGGGCTTAGGCCTCCAGGCTCAGCCCCTCCTCCCTGCTTGGGGCCTCCAGACGCAGGTACCAGGAAGCGCTGGTTTCTCCTGGGGCAGCTCAGCACCTGCACCTGGAGCACATCCCTGCATCCCTTCACCTGTGTGTGCATGGCCACAGTGCACCGCCCCCAGGGTGGGTGTGCGGGTGGGGAGGCATACCTTGCACCTGGGGCAGTAGCTGGGATGTGGCACACACACACGCATATGCAGCTGTGTGTGTACACATGGCCCACGTGTGGGAGCTGGCTCCAGCCTCCGATCCTGTGCCTGTTAGTCGCAAGTTGGAGGGAGCCCCTGTCTAAGATGGCTGTGCCCATCTGGCCGCCGCTGCCCGGCCCCGGGACTGTCCCCGCAGGTCCTGGAGGTGCACGAGAACCTGGACCGGCAGCTTCAGGACAGCTGTGAGGAGGACCTCAGCGAGAAGGAGAAGGCCATCGTCCGTGAGATGTGCAACGTGAGGCGCCTCCTGGGCTGGGCGCAGTTAGGGGTGTCCTGGGCCCAGCGCTGCCACCGTGGCCGTGCCTTCCCTGTGTGGGAGGGTGGAACCCCGACCCGCTCTTATCCCCCTGCCCCACCCAGAGAAGAGGGTGCCTGATTCTGCAGGTCTGCCCATCCCAGGAGCCCCGCATTCCCTGGGTGTCTGGGGCCTCTGGTGGCTGCCGACCTTCAGGTGGCACTTACGCCGGGGCTCGAGCACCTGCAGGGCTTTGTGTTTGGTAGCTGGGCTACTCTGGGTCTGCCCGGGAGAGCCTCCTCCATGATTGGCTGGCTGGCACGGGTTGTATCTGGGCTCTTAGAGGAGCCGGCAGGGAGGGGAGGTTCATGGGGCTGAACCCCAGACCTCATGTGGGGTGGGGTGTTCTGAACCCCCTTCTAGGCTGCTTCTGGGTCCGTGGGACCCCCTGAACCGCTGCGAGACCAAGTCTGCTCCCCAGTGGTGGCCTACTTAGGACGGCAGGCACAGCCATGAGGGTGGACATGCAAAGACCTGTCTGGGCCTCCCAGGGCCTCAGTTTCTCCTCCCGGCCGCTTGGCTCTGGGGATGTGGGTGACTTTGCAGAGCAGTGAGGAGGTGTGCGCAGGCCAGCAGGCAGGCTCAGGCGGCTCCCCACTCACATCTCACCCCTCCCGCAGGTGGTCTGGAGGAAACTGGGAGATGCCGCCAGCTCCAAGCCCTCCATCCGGCAGCACCTGTCTGGGAACCAGTTCAAGGGGCCTTTGTAGGGCTGTTGCTCTGTGGACACGGACTGGCCCTGCCTGGGGCCCTGTGGACACGGGCTGGTCCTGCTGGGCCCGAGGGGGAGTCGGCAGGCCCTCGAGCTGAGTCACCTTGTTTTCCTGTGGTGAACTGTATATAGGCCGCTGCCCACCGTTGCCTGGCTGCCGTGGGTCCAGCACACGGACAGCCGGGCCTCCATCTCCTGCCTCGCACACACCAGCAATCTGCGAGAGTGGCTGCCACCGTTCTCTGCTGTGCAGCGGCCTGGACGGCCTCCTTACTGCTGCCGGGCTGGGCTCTGGGCTCCTTGGTTGGAGGCTGAAGGCTGCTCTGAGAGGCCAGCCCAGGAACCATCCAGGCCGAGCCCAGCCTTAAGGAAGGGTACCTCATCAAGCCCTCTACCCCTGGCGGCCACCCTCGTGGGAGAGAGGCAACTGGCAGCTGGACCTGACTTCGGGGCACCACTTCTCACCCACCTGCTGTGGCCTGGATGCTGGCTCACCGAGCGCTGGGTCCCAAGTCAGGGACGAGGAAACTTATGCCCAAGGCTGGCTGGAGGCTTCCGAGGCCCATCCTCTGCCCCACTTGTCCAGCTCCCTGCCGCAGGCTGCTGCTTGTTTTTAGTTCACACCCTCACCTCAAAACACATTCTCTGCTGTGTCCCCCGCCCCATGCCAGGTTGTGCCCTGTCTTTTCGGGTCCCTCGTGCCTGGTGCCTGAGGCATCTCTGTGTGGTTCACCCGATGGGCCAGGAAGTAGGAGGGCTGTGGGAGTGTGTCCGGGCTGGCCTCTGCTCAGCTGTGGAGCCCCAAGCCTGGCCCCCTCCTGGGCCCTGGGGACAGAGCTGTGTGTGCTGCAGGTGGCGAGTTCTGCCCTCTCTGGGGGAGCCTGGCCTCCCTGGCTCTGGCTTCCACTTGCTGGGTGACCTTCAGCAAGCCGCTCAGCCTCTCTAGGCCCCCGGTGGGAAGGTGAGGTCCCGGGTTTCCGGCTACGCCCCCCGTGCGAGGCCGTCGGCTTGGTCGGCTTGTGCCTGTATGGCCGCGAGCTGCGGGGGGGGGGGTGTCCACCTGCTGGAGAGGCTGCTGGCGGGTGGGCCGGGCGGAGCTTGGGCCCGAGCTGAGGCCCGCCGCCTCCCTCCCTCCAGCGGGGGACTGTAGCCTCCCCTCTCCCGGTCTGTGCCCTCCGCTGTAGAATGGGTGGTGCAAGGCCCTCCTTGCAGGGGCCTGGGGATCAAATGAAACCTTTGGTGTAAATGGCCATGTACAAACTGTAAAGTGCGATATATAAATCTCTGAATCTGTGAGGAAATGAGGCCCAGAGGGGTAAATGACCTGTGGCACATGAGCTCCCAGACGCTGGAAGGCGGGACAGGCCACTGTGAATTCTGTGACCAGCCCTGGTGTCTACGAGTCGGTCCAGGTCCTCGCCCGCCAGCCAACGCCCTGCACTCGCAGCGGGACTCAGGGCTTCCTGTGGCTTGAAGGATCCCGGCCATCTTCCCTTGGGGCAGGCCCCGTCCAGGCCCACGTGAGGGATGTGGACAGGCAGGGGACGTAAAGTTAAGTCCTGTTCCGATCCCCAGCAGGGACTCTGAGCAGCGTCTCCACCTGTTTGCCACTGTCACCCTTGGGTCTTACTCTCAGGGGAAAGGCTGGTGGCCTGTTGTGCCCAGGGAAGTGCTAAGTGGGGCTTCCAGTAGTGACAGGTGTGTCCCTCTTGCCCTGGGTGTTACAGGGAACTCTGGGCTCTTTCAGGAAGGAGCTCGCCGCAGGTCAGGTGGTGAGCTCCGTCACTGCAGGTGTGCGTGGGAGCTGGGGAACATCTTTGGTTGTGGCACTGGGTGATTCCTGCTCAAGTGGCCAGTGAGCTGGGGGGGACAGACACTCTTTCTGGGTCTGGGAATCCAAAGATTCACAGAGCAGCCCCAAGGTGCGTATGGGTCCATTTCGGGTGGGAGCCACATCTGGGAGCCCATTTGTCACACTTGGATGCAGTTGTTTTGGCCACCACTGAAAATAAGCAATAAGTAAAGGCTCCTGGTGTGTGCAGCTCTCCTGCAAACACACCCAGGGAAGAATAGCCTCCGAGGGACCTTCCTCTCCGGGGGAAGCGCCCTGTCTCATGCTGCAGTGGCATCAGAGCATAGGTGGGGCGTTTCTGCCAGAAGGAGCTGCCCGCCTGCTGTGGACGCAGCAGCAGCCAGGTACAGAGGTCTCTCTCCTTCCCGCCCCTGCTGTGTCCGGGCCAGCACTGCATGCGGGTGGCTTTCTAGGACACAACTGCACCTCTGACAGTCACCTAATGTAATAAGCTGTTAAAAACCAGCAGCGCCTCTGCTTGACTCCATGAGGGGGGCACAGTGGGCAGGCTGGGGAGGGTCAGAGGGCCTCAGTACAGGGGCAGTCAGGGCCAGCTCAGCACGGGTCCCAGCTCTGCCACTAACGGAGCACGCATGGGGTGACACTGGGTGACTCCAACCTTCTGGAGCCTTAGCTCTAAAACTCATGGTGGGGTTGAGGGTGTTACTGAACTTGGTGTCCTTACATGAGGGCCCCTTTCCGTTTCAAATACTCTGACTCTATTGAAGCCCAGTGTGGCACCTGTTCTGTGGCTTCAGTTCCCACTGTGATGATGTCACCCTTCCAGCCTCACACCAGGTGGCCAAGCTCATCCTGGAATCGGAATCTACTGAGCACATTTTTTAGGGTGGCACATTTTTATCCAAAAGTTATTAGCTACACATCAGTGTTTGAAAGAAGTGACCTTTCATTGTTTTTTTCTTGAAAACTTGAGAGGAAACAACATACTACTGAATTTTTTTTTTTTTAAAGAAACTAAATGCATGACTGCAGAGCGGTAGAGGTGTATATTTTCATAATGGGGGAGGGGGTAATACATGTGCTGCTTTCTGGAATGGGCTGGAACGTCTGGTTCCTGTCCCCAGCTGGCAGCTGTAGACCAGGATGCTGGGAAAACGGGGCCAGTCCCCTCCCCAGCCCCGGGAAGAGCTGGGAGCTGTGGACTCCTGGGCCGTTTCTACCTGCGATTGAACCACATTGATTTGGGGAGAGGAAAAAATAGAACTTTTTGATAGCGTGGTAAAAACACTGATTTGAACTATTTTAGTAAAAGGAGCAAAGAGAAAATTGTGATAGTGTATACTTTGCACTAGATAAATAAAGGCTCTCTGCAAGCCTCGTGGCAGGTGCATGGTGCTTGTCTGTCTTGGGCTGTGGGGTTGCTGGGCATAGGGTTGGAGTCCCTGGGAGGCCCTCAGATGGGGGTTCGGCCGTGAGCAGCCCCCTCCCCTGGACAGCCAGTCCCGCCCCAGGGTAGATGGTATGGACCACTAACTGTGATTCCCATGGCCTCTGTCTATAGTCACAGGCCAGAAACAGAAAGGATTTCACACCCAAGTAAGTCCCTGTCTAACCTGGGAACCTGTGCTCACGCAGGTACGTTTGGCAGTTCCAGACTGGCTCCTCCCAGCAAGGCAGCGCAGGCGCAGCGTGTGGAGTCTGGCCTGGAGGGCAGTGCCCTGGCAGACTCTCCCCGCTGCCCGCTCCTCGGCTGTGGGGCCAGAGCCCACTCTGTTCCAGACTTCAAACCGGGGACTGCTTACGACCTGAAGCCCCACCTTCCTTCCACCAGTAGCAAACAGGGGTACTTTCAGAATGATTTTATTTGAATAACTGACTGAAGGAGTCTTGTTTGTAACCAAGGTGGAATTCACAGTATGCTGTTACAGTCACACTTAAAAAATATATCTCTGTACAGGAATTTGCAAATCCGTGTAAACATACTTTACGTTCTCGGTACATTTCTCCCCTTCTCCCTGGAGGAACAAGCAAAAAGCCATCCAAGGCAACCCCTTCAAAGTAACTTTAATACAAAAGACGTAAATATCTCCTTAATAAAAAAAGAGGTTCACCTGATTTACTGGGTGTCACGGGAGAGGACATCACAGAATTAAAGTGATGACAACAGCTTAACTTCAGATGGAACTGAAATATTGAAAACTTGAGTTTCCAGGAAAAATAGGCACTGATCTCTAGAAGGAAATTCACTCCTGACCGAAGCTCTTTGCTGAGCCAATATGGCTGGTTAACATCCTCACCAGCGTAAAGCAGCCGGGTGCAGGGCTCCGGTGACACCAGCTGAAACGGGGCCAGTCAGGCACGGCTGGCGCCCAGGCTCCACCGAAAGCCGCCGTCTCCCTGCTCCACACGTCGGAGGACCACCGGATTTCATCTCGTGGTCCCGTCCGCTTCCTCCCACACTGTAAAACTCTAGTATTACACAGGTAACCTGCTGTTTACCCCCTTGAACTCCTCTTCAAGTTTATTAGAAAAACATTTGTTAAAAAAAAACAAAGGGATAAAAAGGCATCAGGCTATCTCATCCAGGCTGCCCGCCCTAGCCCCCCAACTGGAGGCATGCCGGGTGGGGGAATGGGTGGGGGCACGGGGGGCTGTCCTCCGGGGGGGACAGCTGGGGGCGGGTAGCTAGCTGGTGGCAGGCCCAGGCCTGGAGGAGGGTGAGGTGGGACTGCGTGTGGGTGGTAGGGCAGGTGGGCTGGCGGGCCGTAGGCTGGGGGNCGGGGGGCTGTCCTCCGGGGGGGACAGCTGGGGGGAAGGAGGCTGGAGGAGGGGGCACCGGTGGGGGGGGAGGGTTGGGGGGGTACACGTGTGGGTGGTAGGGCAGGTGGGCTGGCGGGCCGTAGGCTGGGGGCATGGCGCCGTAGGATGGGCCCTCGGTCTTCATCATGGACTGCAGGCTCTGGTAGCCCTCTCCGGACATGTAGGAGCTGGTGGTGGACATCCCGGTCATGTAGCTGGAAGGTGGGGGCGGTGGTGGCCGGTGCGGCAACGGTGGTGGCTGGTGCACAGGGGCTGGGTGGGCCGGAGGAGGAATCTGGACTTTGGGCAGCTCACTGGCATCCACAGGGCCCGGTGGCTCAGCCTCACTTAAGGCAGCCGCGAGGGGGGGCTTCCGGTCTGCAGAGGAGAGATAAGTCACTGGCCAGCCCCGGGCGGCTCCACAGGGGTGTATTCACTGACTGCCTCCTGGGGAAGGTGGGGAGGGCCCGGGCCACAAAGCGGCTCTCCAGGCCACCCCCGGATGCCTGGACCCTGGGACAGCACCAGCAGGCTGTTGCTTCTCAAGTGCCACTTTCACAGAGAGCAGCAAGTAGCTGTTACCTTTGCGATTTGTGCTCATGTCCTGATGCCATCAGCTTGTTCCTTGTTACACGGGCCTCCATCCCACCCCTTGCTGTCCTGGGTCCCCTCGCTCTGTCCTCACACCAGCTATTGGCAGAGCCTGCATGCAAGCATGGAGCCCCTGCTGCCCTGGGGACCCAGCCTCCTCATCCCGGTATGAACACCTGCAGACACGTTTGGGGCCCCTCTGCCTGTGTCTCTTCCAGAAACCTTGTGGCAGGGACATGCTGTGCTGCCGTCTGCAGCACCGCACCTAGCCCACAGCCTGGGAGCTGGTCAAACGAGTCGGGGGCATTTAGAAGGGAATGGACAGACTAGTTGCTCATATGAAACCTTCATAAGAGTGCATATCAATGATACCTTAATATAAAAAAACATAATGGACAAACTCTGGTGGTCCCAAAGCAGTCACCAAAGTAGCAATTCTGGGACAAGATGCAGCCCCACTGCACGCTTGCACAGCGCCCGAGGCGTCACGGTCCCCCACTATGCCCAGCACCCCGAGCGCTGCCTGCCCACCCACCTCTTCCTGGGCCTCGCCTCACGTTTTCCCCTGCAACTAACCCCCTGCTCATCCGTGGTCAGACTCCGAGGGAACAACACTGCATACCCCCCGGGGGGGCCGATCACCAAGAACATCTCTTCCCAAGGCAGCCCAGAAGTCAAAGAAGCAAAACCTCCAGTTGCAGAGAACACAACAAAGGGGCCACAGGCCATGCAGTGGTTTCCAGTCCCCAGCACTGTCCCAGGTGCCCCTGGAGCTCCGCACAGGCCCGACTGTGCTCAAGGTGGCACGGCGAGGCCGGTGCGCTGGGACACAGCCACGCCCACACTGCTCTGTCAGCCAATGGCCTGCGGTGTCTGTTCCCTTACTGTTCTCGCCAAAGTGACAGCAGAATTTCAGGTTGGCCAGGACATCTTTCAGCAACAGACATGTCCCTGGGCCTGCCTGTACTCACCCAGTCAGAAGGCCAGACACACCCATGGAGAATCGGCCTGGGCCCTGGGCAGGGCCAGACCCTTTGGTTCTAGAAGCTGACTAGAGGACACAAAGTATGAGCCCAAGGCCAGTGCAGAAAAGTGCCCATCCCCCTGAGTCCCTCCTGTGTGTCACCCCATGGCCACCTGAGTCCACACGTGCTCTTCCAACGTGAAGAGATCACCTCCTATAACATGCAAGTCTGCTGCCTCCTCAGGTCAGCAGCGCACTCAGGCTGGGACCCCAGCTCCCAGCCAGCATGTGCTGCTGACATCTGACCACCAGCAGCCGCCCACCCGCTGAAACACGCCTGGTGCCCTACGCGCCTCCTCCCTTCTTGGCTCTCAGGAACGGCGGCTCTATCTCCGTTCCCCCCCAACACCACAGCCTCCTGCTCCTCCTCCTCCAAGCCCTCCTGCCCTCCCCCATCTGCCATAAACAACTACAAAAGAGTGACTGGGCACCTCGTGCTTCAGGCACCAGGGCTGCCAGGCCTGGGTCGCACCCCCACTGCCCCAGTCGGAGCTCTTCATGCCAGGCCAGCACTGGCCTTGGCCTCTGCTGTGTGCCGCTTGCGCCTGTCCTGGGCTTCCCCGCCCAGGCGCTGGGAATCACAGTTCCTGAGGAGATGCTCCCTAAATTCCAAGGACCAACTGCATGTGTCTTTTTAAGCAAGCTTCATGCTGAACTGGGAACTGTGGGCTTTGTCCCAGAGTAGAAAATGATGCCTGTTTTCTCAAAGCTTATCAACTACCGGGACTGACTATAAGCAGAAGAAATTGAATTAGCAGTACATATTAGCTTGCTATAGGCAGCAACCAGCGTTAGTGCAGCCCCCTGAAGCAGGAGGTGCTGGCAGGGGTTCAGAGAAGTCTCTGGAATATGCACCACCCTGCAGAAAACACAACTCCTGCCTTCTCCAGTTTGATGCTTTGTCTTTCAAAATGCTGCCACAGGTGAAGAATGATACATTCCTTATGACTATTCTTTATTTGTAATGATGTCAAGGAAGCTTCCCAGTTCACTGTGTACCTGTTGAGAACTCTTAAATTTGTTCTCCATGTGACTGTATGAATAATTACTTGTTCTTCAAAATGTACTGAGAAGATATCCTGCCAAGAGGAAACAGATGTGAGAGGCTCAAGTCTGAGATCCACAGCGATACTGCCTGGGACTGGGTACATGATCTTACACTGGCTGGGCTTTGTTTTCCTAAAACTGACTCTAGCTTCATTTATCCTGGGTTGTTCAGCATTTCTATATGTGAGAGGTGAGAGGATATTCAAGATATACTTAGAATTTACAACATCCTCAAAATGTTTGTAAAAACAAAACAAAACAATTTTGTAAGATCCGTGGCCATTACCTTTTTATATTTCCCTATAGTCTCCCTTCTACAAACTTTCCCCCAGGCCTCCCCAAGTCTGTCCTTTAACGAGGAGAGGCAAGCTGGCATTCCCAAGCGGCTTTCACACTTACCTGCAGGTGGGTGGGCTGGAGGTAATGGAGGGTGAGTGGTCTCAATTTTGGGAATTTTAGGTGGTGGTGGTTCTAAAAAGAAAAACAGATTAAAAAGCCACTCATAACCCTTCACGTGAATAAACATGTCAGAGGGCAAAAGAAAGACAAATACACTGTTTAGGAATTTCTTTAGGGGAAAAAGAGCAGCATGACCAAGGCTTTAGGGGGCAGGAGGAAGCCCTCAGCTAAAGCACTATATGGTCCTTTCAAGGGAACAAATCAAACACCTTCCTAGCACCCTCCAGAAAGCAACCCCCAGCTTCTCTTAGAGTCAGCCCATTTTCCACATTGATCCAGTTGCCGGCATTAAGACAAGCCCTCCCAACGAGCACCTTCTCAGTTACCAAGGGTCCCCTATCGGAGTGCTTGCTGGCACACGGAACACACAGAAAGGCCCGAGAGCTCACAGGAGAAGCCCCACATTTTTATTCTTACTCAGCACATTTTATTTTCTCTCTCACATGTATTTGCTCCCAGTTGGCAGTGCATCAGAGGCACACTGACTGGCCCCAGCAGAGACTGGGGGCTGGTGAGCTTTCATAGAAGCAGTTGGGACCACTTGGGGCAGAGGAAAGAGCCCACCCTCAGGGTCTGGGCAGCTACACGTGAACAGCCACCACAGGGACAACGTCAAGTCGCCAAGGCAGGCCCCAAGTCCAACCCCTTTGCTCATAAAGGCAGATGTGCACACGATCAACACTCTGCTTTCTGTGTTTTTTGGCCTTTTCCTCCCGAAGCTCACTTCATCTGGCTTGTGCGTTGCTCTGATCGGATTCTACTCTGGCACTGCTGACCACTTTCTTGGCTTCCTCTGTTCCAAGCACAGGCTGAATTCAAGGTCCAGGGACATCTCTCCCTATCCTCTTCCTCAGAATATAGGTGTGTGGACTGCAGATCTACACCTCTAGCTTCCTCCTCCTCCGCAGCCCTGGTCCTGACTTGTAGGTCCAGCCAGAGGCCTGGCAGACACTGCCAGGCACACAGCCCCGTCATGCGCATTGTGCTGCCCTCGGACGCCACCTCCAGCCACCCCTCCACAGCCAGCCAGCCCACACCGTCACTACCAGTGCTCCTCAACATAAGTCTAAGGAGAGACACACGTAGAATTCACATAATTTTAAATTTCCTAGTGGCCATGTTAAAAAGAGGTGAAATTTTAATATTTAATGTGATATATTAAAAATTTGATTTCAATGTGTAATTAACATAAAAATTTATTAGTAATATTTTTTACATTCTTGTTTCTTACTAACTCTCGGAAACCCTGTGTGGCTTCCGCATCGGGGGCACATGGTAATTTGAGCTGGCGTGTTTCAGGCTCCCGGTGGCCTGCCACTTGCGGCTGTGTGCTGGAGACCCTACCTGGAGGCTGGGTCTGCAGCCTCCCTCCCTTTCTGGCCCCAAGATCCCATTCTGACTTGGCCTTTGCCCAGTCTGTCAGATACCCAAGCCTGGTTCTGCACCATTTGTCCTATTACTGCTGCCAGGAAACTCTAAAATGAGCTCAGACTTTGCCATTCTGCTCAAAAATCGCTGATGAATCCCACTGTTTATGTAAGACTAATATTCCCCCAGGAGGCCCCCATCAGTTGGTTTCACACTTTCAGCCCTATCAAAAGCTACTCCCTTTCAGCTTTTCACACTCCAGACTCCTCTCTCTATTTCCAAGTCCTTTGCTCTCTTGTGTCCTTCAGCCTAAAGGCTCCGCCCCCCTCAGAGGTGGCCACCCAAAGGCAAGCCCTCCAAGGTCACCACTGGCTCATGCCTGCCTCCCTTACAGACGCAGGAGTCAGTGCAGGAGTCAGTGCAGCTCGCCTGCAAGTCCACGTGGCAAGGAGCACAGCCCACTCTCCATGTCTCACACTGCCTGTTTGCGGCTAAAAAAGAGTTCACCTATACTCAACTCATCATTTCCTGAAAGATCCTGCTAAGAATGGAGGTTTTTCATAACTTAAAGATCTCACCATAGTTCAATAAACAATTCACTGAGTTCCTATTCTGGAACCAAAGCAACAGAAACGGAAATGTGTAAAGACGGTCTGTGCCTTCAAAGAGTTCAGTGCATCAGGGCTGAGGAACAAGACACGAAACACTTCCAATTTCCTGCTCTGTCATCTTCCAGATCTTCCTCATGCTTTATTTCCAATATAGAAACAAATTACCCAACTTTAGCTTAGGCTCCACAAAAAACAAAAAACAAAACAAAAACAGTGTTGAAAGGTCTGGCCCCCTCAGCAGCAGGGCCCAGTCCCCGCTGTGCGCCGTGCCGCCCCCCCTCCCCAGCACGCGGCTGCGGGGCGGGAGTGTGGGGGTGCCTGGGGCCCTGCACTCTCTCTGCTCTGGTGGGCGGAACTAACCTCTCCAAAGAAGCATTTTTAGAATGGTGACAGTTCTCTTACATCAGAGCTACATGTTTATATATGTTACTGCATACATTTTTGTTGCCATGAAATTTTTTGATGATTTTTGTCAGACTACAGTCTAAAAATACACAGTCGGGACAGAGGAGACAATCTACTTTTTCTGAGAGCAGGCAGGGTGGTTTTTGATGGGCTGTGAGGTTAAATTTTGAGGCCAATCTACATTTGAAAGGCAAGAATTTTGACCAAGAATTTAAGTTTTTGATTAATAAACATAAACTGAAGAAATAAAACATGAGAACAGGATATTACCTGCTGCTTTCTCTTCCTTGGGAGAAACAACCTGTTACAACAGAAAATACCAATTGTTAACCAAGACCCTGGGGGCAGTAAGGAAAACCGATTTACCCAGGCACTAGGAGGATCAGCGCACAGAACACGGCCTCAGACAAAAATTAACTTCGTCAAGTTGCAGGGTGAACCTGGCATGTAACAGACCATCATTTCTGCTTCCTTCCTCTTCCCCTTTTCCTTTCCAAACAGAATCACTAACTTTTCTGAACAGTGCGTTCTGAGCAATGCTATCTCAGGCCCTCTGACACACTGCCCTGAAGCCAAGAGTGGACTCTGCTGATGGAAGTTTACGCTGCTGCCTGCCTTTGGGAGCCAGCTGTGTACCACCAAGGGCTTCCTCCACTGGCTGGGGTGCTGCCGCTGGGAGAAACTTTTACCCATTCTCTGTGTCACTCAAAGCACCAAAGACGACGGAGCCAGAGGACTGGACACCCACTCAGCAGCTGGGGTGCAGACGCGGAGATGATGCCCTCATGGGCTTCAGGGCCCTGCAGGCGAGGACACTAGTCTTCAGGCTCCACACATGGATGCGACAATGGGGAGCCAGACATGCCACCCTCGCTGTCAGCATCCCGGCGATGCCTCAGAAATGGCAGGGCCTGTGTGCCAGCCCACTCACCACAGCTCGTTTGGCTGGTCGGGGAGGACTGGGCTGGGGGGAGGGCTTCCGGGGCGGTGGGGCTGGTGGCGGCGGGGCTGACTGCTGAGTGTCCTTCTGCGGTGGTGGGGGCGGGTCAGAGCCTGGAGGCGGCAGTGATGGTGGCACTGGTGGCACTTGTGGTGTCGGCTGCAGAGATGGGGGCTGCTGCAGCTGATGGGGTGTGTGGTGAGGCATCTGTTGTTTTCCTTGTGAGTAGAGATCCAGGATTTGGTGGCAGATATCTAAACAACAGGCAACAATCACATTTATGACAAATCGACGCATTTTAAGTCAAATTTTACCTAGGGAAAACCCAGCCCACTCCACTTTCAGGTATGATTCCATTACAAGAATCAGTAAGTGAGGATCGTATCTGCAACCTGCCCAAACTCTCTGCTCACGGCACTGGTGTGTGTACTTAGCTCACTGAAACTGAGTGCTGGGCTGGAGAGAACATCACCGTCAGAGAAATGAATTAACAGCGTGTATGGGCCTAGGTGGGGAGACCTGTTCTTGGGATTCAAGGTTCATGGAGAAGAACAAGAGCTCAGTGTGCCCAGTACCTTCCAAAACGTCCACGGGGACGTCCTGTACAAACTGCTCCCACCACCTCCTGTACATGGGTTTGGAAGTCCATTCCTGTATTTCGAATTTGCACAAACGTCCTGCGAGATACATCACTGCTACTGCTATGATCTCTGGTTCCCACTGCAGTGACAAGGTCGTGCAGAGACTATTCAACAAGAAAAAGAGGTGACTTGGATGAGCACATGTTTATGATCATCCGATGATTGGAGATAAGATGACATATGTAAATGTCAGTTTGCTTAAGTAATCTTCCTTAAACAAGATCAAATAAAGCATTAGAGATAAAAAAGCAAGTTTTACATCTTCTAAAAGTTATCAAAATAAGATACTTTTACCATAGTTTATTAATTTGTTCCTTAAAAAATCAGAATTTTAGCACATTCAAAAATCAGTCATAAAATACAAATGAAAATGGCTTATGTTCTTTAAACTGTTGAAATCCTAGCAATGGACATGTCTCCTCAAATGATGACAAACCTACTCACAGGCATTCTGTTCCCCACATGGCACCTTATAGGTCCCTGGGCTCTAAGAACATAAAGACTCTAAAACCATTATAAGGAAGCATATTTGGGCAGAACCAAAGGGGTTCTAAGTATTTTGTTGTCAAAATTCTCAGGTGTGTGGTTTTGGACTTATGTTTGAAACAGGTGATAAGATTTTAGCCTCTTATATGCATGCCATGACTCTGCTGGGAAGCAGAAGACCTGGACTTTAGCTCCAGCTCAGCCCTTAGCTGGCTCTTCAAGTTGGGGCAAGTCAGTTTCCTTGATTGGGTTAAATGACCCATAATATACAATGAAATCAACATTTGAACATGTGTACCTGTCATTTACAAATGTCCATGCCATTTGAACCAACTTTTGAATTTTGTTTTTATCACCTGGAAATGAGAAAAGAAGGTAGATTAGAATAGATGAAAGAAAGAAAAAAATCATGCACGGCAGCAGCAGGTATTTATTTAAAGCCCACGGTACACTTAGCACCACCCAGCGGGTACAAGTCCCACCTACAGTCTCCTTCCACTCTACCTGTGCTGAGCCACCATTCATGGGAGACTTGGCTCCAAGGCTGGCTTTCTTTAGCTATTTAAAAAATTCTGACTCATTTCTCTGCCTTCTATCACTCGGCAACTGGATGACAGAGTCTGTTTACACATAAAAGGAAATAGTATTCACGGCTATAATATAGAATTGTCTGCATAAGCAATGTCTGCGTACACCACACAACAAACTTCCCTACTTGCTTCGTGAGAAGCATAATCTGAGTGTCATCAAATTATAAAGACTTGATTTCAAAATGGAAACTCTAAATAATTCTGTGCCCTTACCTTTGAGTTGTTTTGCATACTTGAGTAGGAATTGGTATGGATGTTCTACTTGTAAATCAAACTTTATGGTTTGTAGTAAGATTCTCTCCAGAACCATTACCTCTTCCTAGAAATAAAATAACAAATGTTGGGATAGTAATTTCAATTAGGTCTGAAGTAGCACTAAAAAAGAGAGCTTTCCTATTTATCTTCCCCTCAAGTTACATTTTTACAACTATTTTCATTTTTTCTCTTTCCCACTGAGGCTTTTAACATGCTCAGAGACAATGATAAACTCTGAAAAGAATGAAACAGTTAAGAGTTAACTTCTTAAACATACTGGAAACTATTAAAATAAACATTCTTAGAAATGTTACCATCTTCCATACATGAGTCATGCTTTACAAAGCAGATATTTACTTTATAGATCAGTTAACTCAACTATAGTTTTTTTCCAGACCTCCATCAAAAAAATGCAATCCCTTAGGAATTTTCATTGGAAACTTTAAGCAAGGAAGAGATTATATGCTAATGGTAGCTTCATTTAAACTCAGTGAGTTGTACCAGTTGAATATATATACATAATGTGTAAACAGTGGGCACATTTTTGTTTAAATCCTTCAGCTGTTTGAAGTAAGCTATCCAACATTATTTACAGAATAAACCATTCATTTCTCCTTTACTAAACCAGATCCTATACTATCTATATGTACTCGCATATGCACATGAAATCTTTCCTGTTCACTGATCTGTCTACTTCTGTACCCGGATCAAGGGATTTAACATTTGGAAGGGAAAATTCAATTACTACTCTTTCAAAAAGTTGTTTGTTTCTGCATGTTCCCTACACCCTGAATTTTAGTATCATGTTACTTAGTATCTCTCTCTGAAATATCAAAGTTATTGATGTTCTGATTGGGAACTTACTGAACTTAGAAAGCAATATTGGGAAAGTAGATTTTTAACTACATTGACTCTTCCTATCAAAAATTTATTTATTAAAATGTTCTCAGTCCTTCAGTAGTTTTAATGCTTCCCCCACTTCCCTAATGCCCATACGGTTTTCACAATTTCTTATAAGGCTTATTATTCCTGGATATTTTTCTTTGTTGCTATGGTAAATAGAATCTCTTTGGTTATACTTTCTAACTAGCTACTGTACACAAACAGGTACTTCTAGAATTCAACCTCTGTACAGCCTGATGTAGTGTATCTAAGAACTTAAGGACAATGTAAAATACAGTCAAGATGCAGGAAGAACAATTAGAATCACTTATTTAGAGAGACCAAAGGACTTTATGGAGCCCTGAGGCTCTCTGTAACTCCAGCCAGCGGAAGACGTGCAGGTAATTGGCCTTCACTTTGGGGAATGGCTTTAGACCCAGAATATAAAAGATGACTCTCTCTTGGTTTATTTTTCCAAATACACAGCAGGACTAAGCTTTCTTTACCCTAATTTCCCAAGTGCTCTCTCAGGAAAGCTTTTTAAAATCCTAGAAACTTTCACACAGTATAAAAAAAATCCTGCTAACACTGTTTTTTAAAAATTTTTGCCTGGTTTTGTTATCACCTGTTTTCCAGAAGCTTCAGTGTCTCTTCTAAATTTAAAGCACTCTTTTACCAAGTGTGAGATGGCCCGTATAGCATTACAGAGAGCCCGAGGCCTGGCCTCCCTTTGTGTTTCCAAACATTCAAGCAATGGGGTAATTATAGGTCTGTGTGTGAACACCATCCTTCGGGGAGTTGTCCCTCAGCTGCACCCTTGTCTGGGGCCTTGTCTCCGGTCCCAGCTTGAATGCCCTCACTGCACTTTCACATAGTCTTTTATAGGACTTACCACAGTCATAATCAGATAGTTACATGATTATTTGGTTAAAATCTATCCCACCACTCAACTGTAAAACCCATGAGGGCAAAGGCCACGTCTGTTTGCCACCTGTTTTATGTCTACTGTCAAACAGTGACTGGAACACGTATTTGCTGAATACGGAAGAAACTAACATACTCGGGGGAACCACACAGTTAAAGCAAAGCTCATTCCGGCAAGAAGTTCCACATAATTCACCACCTTGCTTCTCCTGATTGCTTACATTGCCTCCCCAACATAACCATTCTGTTCTCCTCTTGGGCAAGGAAAATACCTTCCACAGTTTTCACTACTCCCAGATCCCAGGGCCTTTTCCTTTTGTCACTGCACCCCAGGTCATGTCTGGGCGACTACACAGGAGAGGAGGGCCAGGGCGCAGAGCTGGGTCTCGCAAGGCTACTCCCCTCTTCTACGTTTGGGAGCACGTGAGCCGCAGAGCTACCTCACTGCCTGGACTGGTCTTGGTTTCCTGTGCAAAACCTAAACAGTGGGTAAAGCCTGGAAGTAAAAAAAGACTTCTCCAAAGGCACCCTCAGACACACAGCAGCACAGTGCCTGCGCCCAGGCCCGCAGTTCCTACAGCTATCTTCCTATCTGTAGGAGTCCAAAACCCTGGTATTGAAAACTATCTGATAGTTACATGATATTTATAAAATTGCATTTTTGATCACTCATAGTAGGAATTCCTAATAGGCTCACATTTGAATGGATTTATAACTAAGTTCAAGGGACAGAGTCACCCACATCAACAGTGCAGCCAGCTGACCCTTGAACAACATATGGGTTTAAACCATGTGGGTCCACTTATACGTGGATTTCTTCAGAAATTGGAAAATTTTTGGAGATCTGCAACAATTTGAAAATGATCTTTTCTCTAGCTTACTTTATTATAAGAATACAATATATGAAATATGTCTTAATCTGCTGTTTAAGTTATCTGTAAGGCTTCCAGTCAACAGCACGAAAGTTTTTGGGAAGTCAGGACTTAAGAGGCGGATTACTGGGTATTCAGGGTAGCGTCAGTACTCCGAACCCCCTGTATTGTTTAAGGGTTACCTACATTTTAATCACAACCATGAAATATGCAAATGCATTCTAGACCTCTGTTAACTAGCTCCTCAAAGCAAGGAGGAAAAAGAACACACATAGTTTACATATACACATCTGATACTGTTGGCACAGAGAGGGTAACTGTTGTGTCAGGTAATACCAGCCATTTGAAAAAAAACAAGACTGTGTATGGTGTTGAACTTCATCTTGGTTAGCTTTGCTTTAACTGATTTTGCATTTCTTCCCATAACATTAGCCTGTCATTTACTTAGCATGTATCTGCTAAATGCCTACTCGTCTAGTTACAGTGCTAGGCACCAGACAAAACAGACAGGGTCTTTGTTCTCTTAGCCTTATAACTGAGGAGAGTTCTGTGATTATTTGATTAAAATCTATGTAATTAAAAACTTCTACTAAATGTTATGAAGGATAATTAACAAGTGCTATTAGGGCTACAATGGGGACACTGACAGGAGTGGGGGTGTGGGAAAGCTGCCACTGGTCTCTGAAAGTGGTCTCTTTAGAACATAATAAAAACATATGTACAATTATTTCAGCACCATTTCCTGACACTGGCAGGGGTTGTGGGGAAGGGACAGAATGGATGGTATGACCGATATCAATTTGGGTGTCTGAAAACAGCTGCAAATGTCAATGCTTTCCAACGTTCTTGGGAGGCAAAAGACACAGCATGTGGAGACACGTGTGTGTACACAGAGCACCTGTACTCACTGTATACCCAGAAGCTGGCTGGAGGTGTGGCCCTGCATCACTGCTGAACCTAAGAAGCCAAATTACTTCTGGATCTGGGAGTGTTAACAGCCGTGAGAAGATTTTTGTTTCTACCCATTAAATGTGCTGCTGTCCCTGAAGTGCTCAGAACATGGCTTGGCACATGGGCGAGTACCACCTCAGTGTAGACTACAGTTCCCTTCTCTTTTACAGAAGCCAGGAAGAGAACCTGCCAGATGAGGCTTTCTTTGGGACTTAAGGGACTGGCAGATACAGGGGCCACAGCCACTGTCAACACTGGAAACTCTATCATAACATTGCTATGAGGAATCAAGATCTGAAGGTGGAAGTTACCTTTGGGTCATCTCCAAACTGGCCAAACTGTACATCATTTAATAAACTACGAGCTGTTTTGATGATATCTTTACATTTTTTTGGTGTTTCTTCTACTTTCCCAGCCAAAAACAGACAACAAGCTCCTGTCACCTGAAAGGGAAACAGAAGCTCCTCAGATACTGTTACCAAAGTTCACAGAGGAACAGAAGCAAGGAATTTTGGGTTTCACTATAAACTGGTACCCTCATTCTCCCACCTTCCTCTCCCTCATTTATAAATACTCTGGCATTCTAAAAGTGTGAAGGAAATTTTACATACATAACCACCCCTGAATCTGGCTTCATAAATTATTTAAAATATAATTTTCTGGAGAAAATGTTATGTCAGCAAAGTAGATGCCAGAAAGGAAAAAAGTCACAAAAATGCACTCTTCCCTAGCATGTTCCCTGATCCCCCTCCGATATAATCAATGTCTCCTTAGAATGCTACGGCCTTCCGCGGTGCCCCTACTGTGGCCGCACTCCCTACCGTGTGCTCTGTACGTCTCACACCATCTACCCTGGACTGGAAGCTACTTGAGGCGGGCTTGCCCACAGAGCACAAGACAGTGCACAGAGCACGTTTAAGGAGTAACTGAAGAATGAGACACATGGCATGAAGAATTTTCATCCATCTTGGCCATTGTTTGGCCTCAATTGTGAGCCCACATTTATCTCAGGAAAGGTAACAAGGAAGTACATGTTCACACAAGGACCAATATGACCATGGTCCATGCCGGTCTAAAGAAAGATATGAATATGATTAATTGGAAAAAAATAAAGTTCAAACTTGGTTTTGTTTATATATAGTATATACCATATAAAAATACTTTCTGGAAAATATAAAAATAAGAGAGACTACAATGAGTCCACTAAACTCTGTGGAAATAATACATGTGATAGAGAATCATCACACTATTCAAACACTTACATATCTTGGGAATTGCTTGAAGGAATGAAACATATAGAAGCGATGAAAATAAATTATTCCAGTTGCCAGGGTATCATAGTGTCTGTTGTTCTGGTTAAGGACTTTAGCCAAGAATTTTGCAGGTTACGTTCTTAGTTAAGTGTGGAGCAGTGATAAAGGCAAACAGTCACAACAAAATCAGTGGTAAAGTAAACACTATGAGCCACAAAGCAGGTGGATAGGAGGCTCGGTGGGTCAGGACGCTGGTACGAGAAGGAGCAAGTTGAGGGCTATGCTTTTAGTGCAGCAGGGCCCTTCCGTCCTTTAGGAAGACCTTTACCTTTACTGTCATCACTGGGTGCGTGTTTCGCCCCCAAGTGGCCACTGCTCAATGGCTAAGGCTACACATTTAAATGATGAACACGAACAGAGATCCTCTGAAGAGCTAAACAAATCAGAAATAACATTTATATAACAAAGACATTTAAGAGCCATTTTAGTACAGAGATATGACTATGTATTTTGTGTGTAGTATCGAATTTAATTCTTGGTAGTGGTGGTAGGAAGCCTGTCTATGATAGATTCCAAGGAGACTCAGGATACAGTCCCAAACGCGTGCCCACATCAAAGATGAACCGAGCCCCTTCTCGGCGGTACCGGGCCTCCGTGGCTGGATCGAGTCCTTCAAGTTGTGAGGGTGTATGAGCCAAGTCTTTCTTATCCCAGTACCAACATGGTTTTGTGTGGTCCAGGTTTGCTGAGGTTACCGAAGGGCTTGAATTTTCTTTATTCTCCTTCATTTATTGAAGCAGACTTGTTCTTTCCAAAAGATTTTCTGAAAATGTTAGAATCTTAAGAGAACAAGAAGAGGCAGAGTTGAAAGGGCTGTCCCACAGTGAGCGATCCCCGCCACTGTAAACGACCTACTGTCAGACTGTAGTTGATTTCAGATCGAATTTTCCACAGAAGCAATACTACTGATTGGCAGTTTGAAGCCCAGGCTCACCTCCAAAGCCAATTTAACACGTTAAGTGACCACAGTATAATAAATGCCAGATTTCATGGTCATTTAAATGGAAGGGTATTTCCATTGCATTTTTCTGCCTTTCCTCATCAGATCTAGTTTCCTCATGCTGGTCTACATCTTGTTCTCCAGTAAAACCCATGCCTGTCTTACCCTGACCCCCAGTAAAAAAGATTTATGTTCCAAAATTATCCCTCTCTTCCATCCAGCACCCAATAAAGTTTTCCCTTTAGTTTACTGATTCCCCTGGAAGAGCCACCAAACTGGATGAATTCACATGTGCACGAGTCACTGAACCGAGAGCAATATGAACTGGGTATGGGGGGGGGTGGGTGGAGGGAGGGGGTGCACAGGAGGAGGAAGGATCTCCTTTACATTCTTCTATTCTCATCCTCTTCTCTTTTAGAGTAGAGATTGTCCAAAGGCTTCAGGTTGAGAAAACAAAAACAAGGGTTCTCATCCAGAGGCCACTGATATAGGTAAGTTGTTGACATATTCCAATGGAGGCAAAGATTGCAAATAATACGGAGAATGGTAATTTCTCGGATACGGCAACAGAAGGGCTCCAAGGAGGCAGCTAGAAACAGGTTAGTCTGGCTGCCAAGGGAACAGCAGCACTGTGGCCAGGCTCTGGTCCAAAGCCGGCAGTTACCTGGGGAGCCAAACTTTTTCTGGGCCCCCACTTCATTTGTAGTGGGAGAGGGGATGGGGCAGGGCGCAGGGCTGGGTGTGCCCCTCCCTGCACCCGGGAGTCCCACAGTTAACTGAACTATAGCCTTGTCTGGGATTTTGAGTTAAAAAAAAATAAAATCCCTTTTCTGCTCCAGGATCTAATCCAGGATGCTCCACCACCTTCACGTGTCATATTTCCACAGTCACATCTTCTAACATGGAACAGTTTCTCATGTTTCCTTGTTTTCCATGATTTTGCCAGTTATTAAGAGTACTAGGCAGATTAAAATGTCTCAGATTTAGGTTTGTCTGACGTTTTCCCAAGAATAGACTGGAATTTTAAGGAACAGTGCCACAGAGGTGAAGTGCCCTCTCCCCTCCCATTAGGGGACAGATGACATCAGAGTGGCTTCTTAGAGCTGATATTAACCATGATTTTTTTGTTAAGATGGGGCCTGCCAGGGTTCTCACTGTAAGCTATTCTTCTCCCTTTCCATTTCCTATTCCTACGAGGTGAGTCACAAGGTCCAGCCCACACAGAAGGACTTCAGCTCCACCTCCTGGAAGGACAAATAGAGAGAATGTGCAGACATATGTTAAAAGTACCACAACAATTAGTAAAAACCCTTGGGGGAAAATATTTCGCGATACAAAAAACTATGTGAAGTACGAGTCTCTTCTTCAAGTTTTGCCTGTTAATTTTAGTATTCATCTGAGGATCTGACCTGCAAGTTATTCCTGTGGTGTTCAAACGGTGATTTTTCTCTTTCCTTCTCCCTCACTCACTTATTCAATCATTTATTTACATTAGTATGGACTCACTACTATTGATTTTGTTCTGTGAGTCATTCTCCAATACTATCATTATTTTTGTTCAAATCTTTCCAGCTACAGCCACTTGGAAGGAGCTCTTGCAGGTTGGCTCCTGAGTCCTTTTTCAACTTTGACTTTTGGATCATGCAAATATTTGACATATTCATGAACTCAACTAAAAAGACAAAAGCAAATCCTAAAACTCAAAATAAAACCTGGTATATAACAAAAAGGCAAGATAACCACACAGAAAATCATTGTAAGTAATTTCTGACCTTGTTCTGTGCTGAATGAGATATATTCCAAGGACCAAAAAAACTGCAAAGAAATCTTCAACTTCTTTAGTGACACAGTTTGTATCATTGATACTGAAATTGTTAAATCAGTTTTTTTTTGTATAATGTAGGATAAAAGCAAATATATAAATGTTAATGTTAGAAATCAAGATTGTTAATGCAAAGGAAATACATACACACACAAGATCAAAGGCTAAGAACCTGTAATATTAAATTTTAATCGAAAATATTAAATCATGGTTAAAAATGTATACATAAATATCCTAGCTCTATTCATTTCAAGTACTTAGAAGCAATGACATTCCTATACAAAGGAATAATATACCTAGGGCCCAAATCTTAGTTTTCAACACTATTACCCTCTCAAAGGAACTGGTCTCCTTCATAGTCTGGAGTCAGGGCCTGCCTGGAAAGCTTATTCAGTGACACAGGAGCCAGCATGGACTCCCACTGGACAAAGTCAAGGAATGTGAATAATAAAAAGAGAAATGACTATGACTGTAAAAGAGAATAAACAATCCAGGAGTCTACAGTAATATTAAAAAAATGTATATATGTAAGACAAATTCACTTTGCTGGCAGTGGTGATAATTATTGTGAAAAAAGTATCTTTACCTTAACAAAAACAATTGAACTTGGCATTGCTAACACTGAAAACCTGCTGTATGTGCTTCCTGATGTGTTACAAAATGAAGTACTAACCACCCAAGCAGTATTCTTACTCTCCTAAAGCCTAACCTAAATCCAACCAACAAGCCTTTAGTTGTAACTTCCAGGGTACGGTTGATACTGGGGGCACAAGAACAAGTTAAACAGCACAAGGGAACTATCAGTCACAGTCAGAAGGTGCAACATTCTACAGCTGACCTGGTCTCTTAAAAAAAAAAAAAGCTAATGTCATAAAAGAACTAAAAGGTAGGCGCAACCCTTCCTCGATTTAAAAAGACTAAAGAGGCATAACAATCAAACGTAATGCGTGAACCTTACCTTGACTGGATCCTGGTTTAAAAAAAAAAAAGATTAAAAGAAATTTTGAACAGAGAAATCTCAAGATGGTGTCTGTTAGAGGCTATGGGGTTGTTCATTTTTTTTATTAAGGCATCATTGATATACACTCTTATGAAGGTTTCACAAGAAAAACAATGTGGTTATTACATTCACCCTTATTGAGTCCCCCCCATACCCCACCGCAGTCATTGTCCATCAATGCAGTAAGATGCCACAGAGTCCCTATTTGTCTTCTCTGAGATACACTGTCTTCCCTGTGACCCCACACACACCATGTGCACCAATCATGATACCCCACAATCCCCTTCTCCCTCCCTCTCCACCTGCCCTCCCCCACCCCTCCCCTTTGGTAACCACTAGTCCCTTTTTGGAGTCTGTGAGTCTGCTGCTATTTTGTTCTTTTAGTTTTGCTTCATTGTTATGCTCCACAAATGAGGGAAATCATTTGGTATTTGTCTTTCTCTGTCTGACTTATTTCACTGAGCATAATACCCTCTAACTCCATTTTGTTCATTTTCTTACAGGTAATACTGATATTGGGATTACACAGGAGAGTGATTTTATTCTTAGGCTGCAGCATTTAGGGGTAAAGTATCATGATGTCTGCAATTCACTTTCAAATGCATACAACCACACAGCAAAGGTGGCAAAATGTTAACATGTGTCCAGTCTAGGCCATAGATAAGCAAGGAGTCATTGTACTCTTAATAAAAAGTTGGGGGACAAACTCAGATGAACTGCTTAGGAGACCCGGAGGACTCATCCCCTCTGGATCAGAATTTCCCAAAAGCCAAATACTTGCTTATGTGTGGCTAGTGGTTTTATAAACTAAAACAATTTTTAATTTCAGTATAGCATACAATAGTAGTACACTCATTAAAAAAGTGTAGTTTATTAATTTTCACAAAATGAGACACTTGTGTAATACCATACAGTTGAGAAGCAGAATATCACCAACATGCCAGAAATTCCCCTCATTCTTCTAATCACTATAACCTCTATCCTGACCTCTTATTTCCATCAGTGGAATGATATGGCATCACTCTTTACCACTGGTTTCTTTTGCTCAATGTGATGCTTGTGGGGTTCATCCTTGTTGCATAAAGCAGTGCCCATTCATTACTGTATAGCACTGGTTTCCAGCCACAGGTGAACCTTCCCTGCAGGGGACATCTGGCTCTGTCTGGAGACATTTCTGGTTGCTGTAATTGGAGGGCTGAGGGTGGCACAGTGGGTAGAGGCCAGGAATGTTCCCGAGCATTCTATAATGCACAGAACAACCCCCGCCCCCCGCCCTGGGCAAGGAACCAACTGTTCCAAAATGTCAACAGTGCTAAAGTTGAGAAATTCTGCTGCACAGTATCCAGTCTATAAACGTAACACAAACTATCTACACATGCTACTGTGGATGGACATTTGAGATGTTCCTGGTATGTGGTTATTAATAAAGTAATAAAGATTCATGTACATTCTTGTAGAGAAGGCAGCTGGCCAATTGGCTGAGGAAATTGCTATCTCAGCATATCTGTAATTTATTCATCAGTGATAGTTGGGAGTCTCTACTTTCACATATATGAACTGGACAGTTTCCATATACTTATTCATTCATATATTTATGGAGCATTTACTATGAGTCAGGCCTCAATGACAAAGCAGGAAATAAGAGAGGCAAGGTCTCTGCCCCACCAGAACCTTATGTTTTAGTGGCAGACACAGAGACACAGAAACAAATATGGTTAGTATTTGTCAGACAGTGGTAAGTGCCGTGGAAAATAACCAAGCATGGTAATGAGAGTGATGAGATGGGGGCCGTTAGAGGTCTGCAGGAGGAAAAGCAGTCAGGGGGCCACAGCAGCTGGTGAACTCACCTAAGGAGGGCCTGCCCCCGACAACGGGAGTGGAGAGGCATCATAACTGGCTGTGAGGCAAAGAATGGCAAGAGATGACTTCAAGTTTGTTTGACTGACAGAGAAGGGTGGCGCCTATGAGAAGAATGGGGAAGAGAAAGAGCTGGTTCTGATGGGGGATGGGGAGAAGGAAAAGAAGTGGTTCTATAAATATCAGGCATGAAGAACTTGTAAGACACTTGTGGGGAAATGTCCACCAGGCAGATTAACAGGCCTGTTGAGATCTGAAAAGAACATACCTACTTGGATTCATCTGTATGGGCCTGACAACTAAAGTCATGGGGACAGATGGAGACCAAAAAAGAAGGGGTCTGGGGACAGAACCGTAAAGAAGCCGAGGAAGCAGGAAGAAGCACCACAAGAAAGAAGGGAAGGAATTGCCAAAAGGTGGGAAAATCTGCAACCTTACCTGAAGGAGGAACCGAAAGGTACCAGCTTTAAGCCCGAGGTGGTAGTCAACAGTGACAGATGCTGAAGAAAAATTAAAGGACAAGGAATTAAGGAAAGGTTACTAGTAGTGGTGATTAGTTTTAAGAGACACTGAAAACTGATTATTGTGATGGTTGCACAACTGTAAAAATACTAAAAACCACTTATACTTTAAATGGGTGATTTGTATGGTACATGAATTACCTCAATAAAGTAGATACATGCACATGTATAAATAGAAAAACCTTTTCAGAAGTGTAGTGGGGCAGGAGGAAAACTAGAAAGGGTTTTAAATAATGAACAGGTTCTTTTTG